GAACAAAGAAAAGTTTTATTAAAAAAAAACAGTCAACTTACATACAAAGTGAAATCACATTTTAAAAAACAAATCTAAAATTTATTATTTGTGCAATAACAACTTTTCTTAAATCTGGATCTTTTTCACCAAAAAAAAAACTAAAACGTTATCTTTATAATTTTAAATATTGTCTTCATATTCCTTGTCTTTGCGTAACAAAAGAGCGCAGACAAAAACGCGGAGTAAAACAACCACGTCAAATACACGCTTGTTACTGCGCGTTTTTGTCGGCGCGCATTTGTCCTGCGCGCTTTTGTCGGGTCATCTATGTTTGCATCCATCATCTTTTACATTCAATAGATTTCTAACAAACTTTTCATCTCCACATACAAATCTATTAATTGGACAATTTCATTTCTAACTTCTTGGATGTTTTTTACTTCTTTTGGTAATAGTTACGGGTTTCGTTATTACAGGTAACATCTTGGTATACAAATTTTTTAATGTTAGATTCAAAGAATAAAATTTATATAATTTAACTAATAATTTTGAATATATTTAAAATTCACAGAAACAACATTTATGCATAAATAAATTATGTAAACTCATACATATAAATACAAACAATGTGAATTAAATAATTAATCAATTTTGTCACCAAATATGTAAATGCTTTATTTATTTCCATTAATAATTACATAATTTCCACAATTGCTTCGTAATTAAAATATTAAACATTGATCAGCAGAACGGATAAATTCGAATAATGTTTGCACAGGATCGGCGTTCTGCGTTCACACAGGAATCCCCTAATTGCTGAATGATTTCCAACCAACAAATTTTATGAAATTAACGCAGCGAAGTGAACTCTCGATCCTGGTTTTAATTAAACCCCGAATGCACGCGCACACGAATATTATAATATTTATGTATAGATGTGCTACGGATCAAACTGCAATTATAATTAAGCAAAGGGAAATTAACGTATTTGTGCATTAAATCACTTGAAATTCGCATTTGTTTGGTTAAAATCGATCATAGTTTCTGTATTGTTTGTTTCTTTTGTATGTTTATTTGTGGGAATCTGTTTTTAAAGGGAATCAATCACATTGCGCGTTTCTGCGCTGCTCGGAGCCAACTTTTCTGCAAATCCTTCAATCCTTTCGGCTGAAATCCGGCCAGATCGGGCGAGATACATTATTTATTTTTGAACTCTTTCGGTGCCAAGGCGGAACATGCAGCTGCTTTGCAATGCATTTCCGAAATACGATGATTTCACCGATTTTCTTTCACATTGATTTTTTTCACAAATGTGTATTATTATTAAATAGAAGTGAATCAATTTCAATACCTCGGTTTATACGGTTTTAGTCGTCCTCGATTAGTCCGGTTTCAAATCGATTGCTCGCAATAAGCGAGGTATTTTTGTATTGAATTGAATCAATCCGGATTCACTATAGTGAATTATTTTTCAGACATAAATGATCCATTTTGTCACTTTTTACAGTCTCTTTTTATAAGGTTTTAGAGTCCTCGATTAGTCCTGTTTCAAATCAATATCCCGCACTAAGCGAGGTATAGCTGTATATAATTTATTGCTTCTCAACTATCAGTCCGGATCCACTATAGGAAATTATTATTCAAACATAAATGATCCATTTTGTCACTTTTTACAGTCTCTCTTTATGCGATTTTAGAGTCATCGATTAGTCCGGTTTCAAACCGATTGCCCGCACTAAGCGATGTATTGCTGTATATAATTAGTCGCTTCTCACCTATCATTCGCATAGTGCGGATTGAATCAATCCGGATTCACTATAGTGAATTATTTTTCAGACATAAATGATCCATTTTGTCACTTTTTAGTCTCTTTTTATACGGTTTTAGAGTCCTCGATTAGTCCGGTTTCAAATCAATATCCCACACTAAGCGAGGTATAGCTGTATATAATTTATTGCTTCTCAACTATCATTCGCATAGTGCGGATTGAATCAGTCCGGATTCACTATAGTCCGGTTTGAAATTATGAAAACAAACTACATCTTAATTAGTCGAATTAGTTTAAAACTATAAATAAAATAATAGACGTACATAATACATCAGAATTAATAAATTGTATGTATAATATATTTAAATGCAATCGATTTTTTTTCGTCGTAAGTGCGAATGTCAGAAGTCGAAATAAATACTGTATCATTTTCAAGAAATTACACATACTTTTGACACAAATTTAGTTTTAAATCGAAAATATATTTCAAATTATTCAAATATGCTATTATTACTTAAATCTAATATTTAAATCATTTAATTATACAATTATCTGACTTTATAATTGATAGTGCTAATATAGTTAATATAAATATTAGAAATTTCTTTTAAAAAAAAATATGATAATATAAAATGCTTGAAAAATTATATAATTTTTCGATTTCGATTTCAGAAGTACCTTTTCGAATCAAATCTAATCTTTATTTATTTTATCGTTCGGAAATTAATTTTAATCTTTTATAATTCAAATTCAAATTTAAATATTTGTTTTTTAATTGTTTATGAATATTTTTTTTATAAATATCATTCCAGTTCCAATTTATACAAAATAATTGTTTGTTAATTATTAATTTAAAAAAAAATACACTTTACACTTTATAAATCTGTACTAACGCAATAAACTATTATTAACAACGTTAATTAATACTAAATCCAATTAATTTTAATTTTATTAAAACATATATTTCATTATTACTATTAAACCTATAAATTCAGTTACCTCGCATAGTCCGTAAAATATTATCTGCCAATCCAATGTTTGAAACCGGACTAATCGAGAACGTTAAAAACAGCATAAAAATAAAATCCAGTGACTGTATACAAAACGAAAAAAAAATATTTTGTCAATTAAAATGTAGTTTGTTTCTACATTTTCATAATTTACATTATTTCAAATCGGCTATTGAATCCGCACTGATCGAAGCCGTACTATGCGAGGTATTACCATATTTACTATTTATATTAAACGAGTGACCTCTAAATACTAAAAAAGAATGTAATAACATTTTTTTCTGTACAAATTCTTTTTACGTTTATTATAAGTAAATTTTATTTTCCTAAACGTTGCTTTCTATTGTTTTCGAAAACAACAACAGCTGGTATATGTTTATAAAAAAAATACCAGTGTGCATTCTAGATTGTTGTTGTTATTTAATTTACATGTTGACTTCATAATTTATAAACGAATTCATGATTGTTTAAATACTGAAATTCATAATTTAAAATTCACTATATTAATTAACAAAAAATATAAATGTTTTAACACAAAATGTATACACTTTAAAATAATAATTTACATTTTTTTTACCATATATCATTAGAAACATGTATTATCAAATATTTAGTTATGTTTTCATTAAATTTATTGTGTTTGAAAAATATTTGTGTTTCTTTACATGACCGATATTTTCAATTTTGTAGTTGAATTCATTATTACATAAATAAAATATAAAATTAAAATTATACAAAATTAAATCGTATTCAAATCATTGATTTTTATAATAATTTATTACCCAGAATTTTTTAAGAATAAAATAAATAATTAATAAAATACAAATATAATAAAACATATATTTGTGCGGTAGAGGGACCGCACAAAAAAATATTCGAAATTTTCATAAATATATAACAAATAACTCCAAACAAAATAAATAATTAAATTACACACGGAAACATTTTAAAAACATTTAATTTCTCGTTGTATATATGGTCGTGTTAATCCAAAACGCGCATCTACTTGTCATGAATTGGTTCAAAATCGACCAACAGAATCGTTTCATATCGTTGCACAAAAACAACTGTATATATAAAAAATAATAATAATACATATTTTTTGGTACTAAAGTATTGTTATTGTTTTATTTAGGCTATTAGGAATAATATTGTATATACTTCATTATGTTATATTTTTAGAATATTTATATTTTCAGTATTTTCCATGATTGCGTTTCAGCTAAAAATCGACATTTTCAATAACTAAAACAGAATTGATTTAAAACAAAATTATGTCTTTTGAAAGCAATCAATGCTGTAATTTATTTAGTATACTTACAGTAAAATATTTTTTAGTATAATATTTTTTTTTTCATAACAATATTTTAACTAACAAAGTAAATTCCAAAAATTAGTACACATTAGTACATTATTTTTCTGTTTTATAATGCAATTTATGTTTTATATACTTTTATATAATTTTAGCGTGTTTAATAATTAATTACTAATTAACTAAAGCGTTTAACAACTTTTTTTTAAAAATATGATGCTATCTCATGCATTTAGTCTTATATAAATTATTCCTTCTTATGATTTTAAAATAATATTGAACAAAAGTTCGTTTTTAACTTTTTGAATTGTTTAAAATAACTTTAACACTATTAACTGTGTTAAAGTTAATTATTTTAAAATATTGATTATATTGTATTTTTGTATTCTAATTGTACATACATTACAAGTAAACATTTTTTTATAGTGTAACTATTTTTAATTGTTATTTTTGTGAACTCTTTTCTTTCTTTATGTGTTGAGAAATATACATATTGAAATTATAAATAAACTTCCTTTGATATTTTAGGTCATTCTGATGTGTTTAAAATTTATAGGACTTTATAAAGTGTGTGAAGATGTGTCTAAATTTAATTACATTTTGTAAATGGAAAATTCTTGTGTGTTGTGAACTTTCATATATATTTCTCTTCGTGTGGAATGGTCAGAGCAGCAAAGAGCTTTGTTTGCCGAATAATAAATATAGGAACTAAGTTCGTGTGAAGTCCAGTCCAATATCGCGATTTATCCCGAGAGAAAACCTCTTTTGATGCTGGTAACTTTGGTCTCAGAGTATTCAACATTTATATACATAAAACACCTTTATACTGCTTTTTTCAGCAGTTTCAGGTGGATGTAATTCAAGAAGATTGGCAATTTTGCGGCCAATCGAGTGAACGATTCTGTCACGATAAATTTCGCATCCTTACACTTTGAAAGGTCCTCCGGAGTCCTTGGAAGCCGTCGACTGCCAGAAGACCGAAGCAGGACGGAGGTGGAGAGAAAAGGACAATCCCAACTATAAACACAGGCCTACGTGCAGAAAGGTGTCATCTATTCCAGACGGATGAGGTGAAAAACGCACATAAACACATGTAATGAGACGCGACACCCACGCACCGGATGCCCTTTGAGCAAGTTACTCAGGGTTGAACGAGCGTTCGGCTCGAAGAGAGAAAAGAGGGTGGCCTGTTCGAACCACCCTCTCACAGCAACGATACACATACACCAATTGACTGAACGCGGAGAAGCCTCTTCAGCTTGAACTGAAAACAGCACCTTCTGATGAAGCTTCCAATTCCGTTTGCTGCTGAGGACGCGCGGCTACTGCAACTCGGTAACATCGCAGAGTCCTGATGCCCACCTGCCGGAAAACGGCGAACCATCACGGACCGGCGCGACATCGAATAAAATCATCGTTTTTCCGTCTACCAATTGCGTAACAACAACATTAATACTGCAAACGTTTCGCAACGATTCACTGCATCAAATGCGTTTCCATGGATATGCAAAGCTGAATACATAAAAAATTATAATTCGCTTACCATCAATGCGGATCATTTATACAAAATGAAAGCTAAAGTCTTTAATACTAATAATAACACAAAAAGGATTTAGATATTAATAATGATCAATATAAATAAATATGAAAAAATATTACAAAAATATTTATTTACTAATTTTTCATGATAAAAGTGAATAGTAAATATTGTTAATATTGTATATTATGAAAATTGACATAAAATTATTTAGTTACCAATTTTCAATAATCAATATGAAGGAGAAACATTTCATAACCTTGAATCAAAAATGTACATTGAAGTTTTCAATTACTGATCTTTAAATAATATATGTGAATAAGATAATTTATATAACTATTAAAACTCTCAATTAAAAATTAACATAAAAGTATTTAGTTACTATTTTTTCAATAGTCAATGTGAATAAGAAAACTTACATAACTATTTCAACACTCAATCACTAATCAACATAAAATTATTTAGTTACTAATTTTCAATAATTAATGTAAAGAGGAAACCTTATATAACTATTCCAATCCTCAATCAAGAATTAACACAAAAGTGTTTAGTTACTAATGTGAATATTAAAACCTACATAACTATTCCTACCCTAAATCAATAATCAGTATAAATAGGAAAACTTGCATAACTGAAAAATGAACGCAAATGTATTTAGTTACTGATTTTCAATAATCAATATGAATAAGAAAACTTACAATACTATTCTTACCCTTAATAAATAATCAATATAAAAGTATTTAGTTAATATTTTATAATGATCCAAATAGCAAAACTTGCATAAATGAAAAATGAACACAAATGTATTTAGTTATTAATTTTCAATAATCCAAGTGAATAGGAAAAGTTACATAACTATTTCAAGCCTCAAGAAAAAATAAATAATATATTTAGTTACAATATTTTAATGACTAATGTCAATAAGAAAACTTCCTAATTTGAGACAAACATTAACACAAATTATTTATTTATTCATTTTCAATTACCAACATTATTAAATAGAAACTTACATAATATATTCCAACTCCTAATGAAAAATTAAACTAACTATTCTAAATAATACATTTAAAATGGATAAACTTAAAAAATATTGTTGTACATAACGAATGTAAGAGTATACTTAATTGTGTTTATTTTAGAAGTTAATGGGTAAATTGTCAGTAAATATGCGCATTCATGTTATTTATGATAATATGTGTAATTGCCCTCAGTCGTCTGCAATGAATACCTAATTAATTGTGTTGTGAACGTGCGTCTGCCTAACATGACAACCCCAGACGAAATCAATTTGACCTCGGGTCATCCATTCAGAGTTCAAACAACAAACAAAAAAAAAGTAAAAAAAAAACTATCCTAGACTTCGACTAATTGTGTTACTAAGATATTAATTTGTTTTGAAAATAAAAGAAAGGAAAGAAACATTGAAGTATCGCATTAATAGTTTCTAAATTAAGTTTATATCTGTATAAAAATTATCCATATGAAATACAAAATATTGAAAATTATGAAAATCTAATTTTAAACTTAAACTTTTATTTATACCTTTTATAGTTTGAGAAGTTCATTTTGTTTCTGCAAAACAGTTTTACATATTTTTAACATAATATTTTATAAGGGTTTGGAATAATTCAATAAAGAATTGAAAAAAAAATGATACTGAAACATTATCAAAAAAAAATTGATATTTTAACAAAAAAAAATCGAAAAAAAAAAGTTAAGAAATTAGAATATTTTCACACCTATATTGATTCTATTTACAGTTCATTTTTCAACATTCAAAGATATAAAAATTAATAATTTTTAAATTTCGAATCAATGAAAACGAATTTGTTTGTTGTCATAGTGAAACTCCAAATCCATAGCAACAAACGTTAAATTTAATCGAATCAAAATATGTCAATCAACATAAATATTTCCACGAGTTTATATAATAATTATCGAACCAACTAAAATACGCTTCACAGTATAAATAGTAAATGTGCACATTGACTATAACTTCAAAAAGTTCCGATTTAGAGAAGAAATATTCAATAATTTAATAGAAATAAATGGTAAAATATAACAATGTCGTATTCACTATAATCCGGTTTGAAAATTTCTAAATTTTTACTGAGCAAAATAATAATAATTTCTAAAAAAAATATTACAAAATTAATTTCTTTATACAATTTTTTTTCCCTCTTTATAAAGCATAAAGTCCTCGATTAATCCGTTTTCAAACATTGTCTTATAAAGAGAAATAAATATCAATTATTTATAATATGTAGAAAAGTCAAAATAACACCTGTAACCTATTTCATTTTCCTCTTGACATAAATAATCCACACTTGTTTTCTTCTTAATAAAAATTAAGACCTTTTGACATAATAATCATCTGTCTTAAATTATCAGCCTTTGTCTTAACTTCCCTTTGTTGAATATTCTTACTTGATCAATTTTAGTTAAGGTTCCTTCAATATTTGATGATGATAACATCAGAAAAATAAGGATTACATCACTAAATTATAAATAAATCCAAATAATTAATTATAGCAATTAAAAGTGAATTATAGAATACTTTTATCTGCTTATATAATATCATGATAACATCTTGATTACATCAAAAAAAAAAAAGAAGATTACATCACTAAATTACAAGTAAATCCGTAATAATAATTAATTATAGTAATTATAAGTTAATTATTTAATCATAACATCATCAACTTAAAGTAAAATGCTTATAATCAACATTATAATCGAAAATAATTATTATATTAAAAAAATGTAACTGTTTTTGCAAAATTTACAAGCGTTTTTTATGTTTGTACAAAATGTACTTAAACACGCATATTTGCTTCAAATCCACTATATTTACTTAGAAACTACACGAAAATTCATTGCCAGAGATCAAGGCCAAAGAATACAAATACTTAACACCTTTCGTTAATTAATAACATACAAAAAAAATACTTGGACAGTTAATTAATCACGAGACAAAAGTCTCGAAAATAATTTTAAAAACAACAGTTTTCCGCATTTTTTTTGCCCGTTCTATTTATTTTCACCGTATTTTTAGCGCGATATTTCCATAATATAAATGTTTAAATACGAAAAATGTAACTTCTATGATTTGTTCAGATCCGTATTTTTAACATCATATTTTCAGCGTCAGGCACGAGCTGAAGATTTCAATTTTACCGTGCTTTGAGTGTGTATTCAAAATAACATTAGATGTTTACTTTTTCAGATTCGTATTTTCATAAGGTTTAATTTATGAAAGATTTTTTTTTTCATCTTTTACTCGCTGCATGTATCGACGGTTTTTTCGGTGCGTAAATATTTTGATACAAATCTATAATTAGTTAATCTTTCATAAGAGATTTCGCATTTGCTTATTCCGTTTATTTTCTTGGTGCCAAAATATTTACGTCGCCTATTCATGAATGGAAATGCAATTAATTTAATGCACTTCGATTCTTTATATTTGTCGCGCTTGGAATTTATAGGTTTAACTATTTATAATTAATAGTGTAATTTATTAAACATGGAATTGCGTAAGCAAAATGTTTGAATATAAAGGAAAATAAATGGAACGACAATAAATAACATAATCTTGATTTTATATTTCTGAAGGACTAAGAACTTTTTTTTCTTTCTTATTATTGAGAAAATGTCAAGTTATAATGGTTATGTATATATATGGTAGGAAAGGGTATTGTTGCACAGCGAAGCCGAGGTTTAATTAACTGTTGAAATCCCGAAACGAGCTTCATAATTATCTTAAACCCACTTCGGTACATTGTAATAATCGATAACTAGGTCCATCCATGTACCGAACTCCTGTTCTATCCGGGATTAGTGACCATTACACTCAACTCATTAGTAATCCTAAACTTTGTATATAAAACAATACCTCGCATAATCTTGCTTCGATCAGTCCGGATCCACTATAGTCCGGTTTAAAAATTTCAAAACAAACTACATTTTAATGCACAACAAAACTATGTTTTATGTTTTATTCATTTATATAGTCAGATCTGTTTTTATGCAGTTTATTTTATGCGGTTGATTAGTCTAGTTTCAAACAGTCCGGAGTATTGACGGAACCGATTACCCGGACTATGCAAGGTATTGCTGATATTATAATTATACATATTGAAGATTTACATTAAAATTATAACTAGCAAAACTGTCATAAATAATTGCTCAATCATTTTTATTTTCTATTATGAAAATTGAGAATTTCCATGCGAACAATTCGTTGCGCCTGAAACGGAAGTAATGTAAAAAAACTTTTGCATCGGAAAATGCACGTCGAAATTTTATACTGTTTAGACAAACTCGGAGACATCCAGTAATTGGTTTCTGAGGAGTCTTGAATTCCGCTTCAGAAATATGTTTTACTTTTTTTCAGTTATTTTCAGTACATTCGATACGCTTTGAGCTTTGAGTTACACTTATTACATTGAATCACTTAACAACACTTTCATAACATTATTAATTTACGCCTAAAAATGTGTTATAATTACATTATTATAAATCGTATTTTGCAGGTGATAAATATTAAAAAACGTTCGTGTTTTTTCTCATTTCTTTTTAAATTTATATTTTTTTATGTGATGACCTTGGAAATAAGAATTAAAAATTTCGAGCGATTTTTAAAAGTATAAAGTCTAAAGACTGTAGCTTTAAGTCATTTTTGATGACCTTGAAACGTAGAATTAGTTGTGTAAATAACATGATTCAAGAAGATTTGTTTGTTTATTTAAATCTAAAGTACTGTTACTTGTATCTTCAAATGAAACACACTT